GTTTTGTAAGAACATTGATGGAATTAAATGATTTATTTTAGAAGATACAATGGATACAGCGGACAAGGATTCCCCCCTAATGTACTCGGAGGCTACAGAGGGCCAAGTATGTTAGGGGAAGAGGAGGGGAAGGTGCTATCACCTTCTTCTCCTGCAGAGGAGGAGGGAANAGGGGTATCCTTGTCCTCCATCGTCGTTGATCTGATCCTCCATCACACAGTAGCAGATTACTATCCTTCCTGTAATCTAGAAGGACACAATCAACATTTGCTTAACCACTTAGTTCTTACCTGCTACTCTTTCACTTGGTTGGATAGGTTCAGGACAAGGAATCAGTGAATACTATTTGAGAAACTAAATGAGAGATTATGTAAAGTTAGATCTTGAAGATATAGACTTACGTTTGAATGCCAAGTCCTAGCGCTTCCAGTGGCTCCAATCTTCTCCAGCATTATCTGATTATTCGGGTGTCTTTCACTACGTACGTTAGTACGATACCCTCTAAGCACAACACTTCTTCTTCAGTTGGAGGGTGTTNATGCCAAGTCCTAGCGCTTCCAGTGGCTCCAATCTTCTCCAACATTCACCTGAAACAAATATGAAATTATCATCGCCCAACATCTGCATATCATTCACTTTTGCTCCTTTATGTGTTTCCGCGAATGAAATCCCTTCATGATTGCTTAGTTATCCTTCCAAAGAGCAGGATTGTCCACTACTAGAACTCTCTCTGAACAATACGTAACTGGGGTCGAATATTCGATTCAACTCTGCAAAATATGGAATTATGCTTCATGGAAACTTCTGAAATCATTATGTACCTGATTATTCCCTTGTCTTTCACTACATACGTTAGTACGATATCCTCTAAGCACAGCATTTCTTCTTCAGTTGGTGAGAGTTAGACATCTGATAAAAAGGATTACAATCGAAATGATCATTTACCTGCGTACAACCAACAGAATAGCTGGAGATCGAGATGAGGGTCTTCATCTCTCCAACAAATTCTCTCATGAAAAGTTATCAGCCTGAGAATCTAATTATTAATGAGCTAATTTTTTGTTAGTCACCTGGTGATCGTTCAATGTCCGGACACCACAAATACACCATTCTTATCAGTTTTACGGAATAGATTCGCTGGGATTAAACTGTCGGTAAAAATCCAAGCAAGAACAAGATCCCAGTTCGTACAAACTTGACCGTGAGTACTAAAGTGGTTTTTTACTTCAAAGCACGACATACGGCCATGAGCTTGAGCACAGCCGCTTAAACTTGTATCAAATTCATTCGAAACTTACTATTCAAGTGAGTGGTGTGTTTGGCTCTTCAACTGACTGAATGTCATACCTCTGCTCTAAACAATCCAAATAGGATAAACCAAGCTGATCCCTAGGAGAAGATAAACATGAATATGAGAACAGTGATCACAACCCACTGGTAGTATCTTTCTACATCATTCTGCACCCAATCTGATTGTTAGGAAAGCACATACAATGTCCGATTTCAATACCAAGAACTGAAAAGAACACTTTGAAGGTCTCAAGAACAAGGTATGACTTGTAAACTTGGAGCAACACCCTCAATTTTGAACAATAGAGCTCTTTTCTTGACTTCCGCCTGATTGCCGAAGTGTGAAGCAAGTCTTTTTCTTTTCAAAATCAAAAAGTATCATTCGAGTCAACGAGTTCATATGACAAGAGTAGAGTGGAAACAGTTTATTGGAAATAAATAAATAGAACAATAAACGCTTCATTCTGTTATCCTTTTACAGCTGAGCCGACTGAGATACTCTTGACAGCATCTTTCCTTCTCTTAGGAGCCTCTATGGCAAAACATTCTTCAGGTGTTGTTTCAGATTTGAAATGAGAAGCATCAGAGGAAAATGCCAACTTCTCACTGTCGTTGACTACCTGTAATCAAAAAGAATTAGAAAACGAAAATTATATAACGAACTTACTCCTTTCAATTCATCTTCGTTACCCAAGTGGAAAGTTGATCATGAAACCAGAAGGTCTTGAGTAATTTGAATGAACGACAGACATACCAAGCCAGAATCATTCTATGGAAACCGTTGTGCGATCATGTACGAATGAAGTGTAGCAACGATCATAGTTCATCTGCAAGCAAGAATGGATAAACGAGTATATACAAAGAGAAGATTGGAATATCAGCATTGAAAGAACGCAATTAACAGAATAACCGATTATCATTGTTTCACAATGAGGACATCGAAACGTTGTGAGGAACAAGTTGGAACTGACTGAGCAAAACAAGGAAAAGCATCTAATCTAAGGAACGGAGAGATGTCTCTGATGAGTTTATCGAAGGGCTACATCAGAAGCGTTTCCTATATTCACAAATTCATAAATACTTGGAGGGACGTAGAGGGAAAAATTAATTATTCGAAAAATGCGAAGTTGAGTGTGACAGATTCGCCTGGGACGTTAAACGCGTGAAATTGCACGTCCTTATTGACAACCACGACGTACATCGTACGGCATGCAATTCGTGCATTTCCTTAAAAGTAGAGTTTTATTCAAAAAGAACCTTCAAAATAAAATAAAAAATATTTTTTGGAAGGTCAAATTCATATATTCTCGGAAACGGACAGAAATACAGAGAGGTACGGCTATGATGGCTGTGAACATGGGAGAGGCATGGTATGAAGGCAAACAGAGAATCGAAGAAACAGTTACATCGATGAATAAGAATCAGAGAAGATCGAGCAGTTCCATCGATTTGACAACAGTAATTGTGAAATGATCTGGAAAAAAATCGGGATATAAAACAAACAGAATGAAAAATAAAGAGTTGGTTGAAAGAAAAAAATAAATGGAAGAGCAGATGACTGACTGTGATAGTTTGAAAACGAGGATACAGAAAGAATGAGGAACAAGGTGAAACTGACTGAGCAAAACAAGGAAAATCATGTAATCCATGAAGATAAGTCCTTTAAATGGCAGTTTGCCCACCTTACATCGGAATAACATCGACGATGTATCAGTAATTCATTTAAAGAACGCAATTAACACAATAACTGATTATGATTGTTTCACAACGACGACATCTAAACGTTGTGAGGAACTAGGTGAAACTCACCAAACAGTACAAGGAATAGCATGTAACCTGGATAAGAACAAGAATAAGCTTTAGTACTAAAAACCGGATGTTTTACGTTTTTTTCCCTTTTTTTAAACCTTTAATTGGTCCCGACCCGATTTCCAACAAAAAAACTAAGACTTGTTTCCCAGGCCAGGAAAATCTTCGAACTATTGCATGAAACCCATTTATCTTTTTTACGTTTCAAGTCATATTTCTGTTCCAAATAGTTGGGCTTTACTTTTTCAGTATCAATTTCCGTTTCTTTCAATGAAAAAATGTAGTCGCTGCTTTGTTTCTATTGTTTTACTTGTTCATGATAATTAAATTGAAACACTGTCTCGCAGTTATAGTATTTATTAAAACTAAACTAATTTATGATTATTTGTGCAAAGGGTACAGAGATAGACAACCCGCATGGGCACGGCAATATCAGCGTGAAAAAGAGCTGATCAGAAAGTTGTTACCGATTGACATAAACCTTACTTTGTATACTATGCTTAAACTGGACGAATCGATATATAACTATCTCTACGTTTAAAATGATCCAAGCGAGATTGGTTAAAACATTTGATCTATATCTACTGTAAAGTTTGAACTTAAGATAGATATTGCGAGAATCATAAAGAAAGCTTCAAAGAGAAATAGAGTGTATGGTGTGTGGTTGTACGAGGGAGTTTGGGGAAGGATGATTGGGTCGGACAGGGGGGGGGGGGGGGAAGAGAAGGAAGGGTAGGCTGTTGGAGAAAGTGTGGGAAGAATTGGGGAAGGCGAAGAGAAGTTTAAAAAAATTATATTTTTTAATAATGGATAGATCAATGTTTGAGGTTTGACTTCTCACCTTAAATAGCTACACACTACAACTCTTGAACAGAAGAAGACGGAAGACGACAGGTAAACTGATTGAAATATAATATTAGGATCTAGCCGATGACATGTACAGTGTAGTAATTAGGAACTATTCAAATAATATAAAAAATATATAAAAGAGTACAAAATGAAGGTCAAAATATTAAAATAAAAAAAAAGAATTAAAACAAATTTGTGCACATATAAATGAGACGGTCTGAGGACTAGGCTTAGTAGCAAGAATAATTGTTTTGTTTTGAAAATTTCTTAGAGAAATGTCGAAAGCAGTATGTTCTATGAATGAATCTTTCTTAAAACTCAGCAAACTCTTTAGAGCATTTTTCTGTTCCAGAAATACGTAACGGCTCCTCTTCGTAATCATCAAAGTTAGAGGCATCACCCGGACCACGACATTTTGGCAAAAAAGGAGCTTCAACCTATAATATCATGATTAAATTTTTATGAAAATAAATAATATCTTTTTATAAAAAAATATAAATATATTTTTCATCTGACAATACTGTACAAGACTTATTTGATAAACGATGACATGGATGGAGAGATGGAGAGAGATATATATAGAGAGGAGAAGATAGAGAGAGACTGTAGGTAGGCAGATAGGGATTATGGATTGATTGTAACACATACACACACATGCACACTTTTCACTGAATGAATATGTTCATTGATGGCATTCGATCGAATGGAGTTCTTCATTGATGTTTGAAGGATCCAATGGATCGTTGGGATAAGGAAGTATGAACGAAGTTAACTAAACACATGGTAAGAGAGAAACATGCAATCAAAACAAAAAGCCAACACATCTATTCAGTTTTTTTATCAGCTTTACAGCTATTATGGTTTTTGGTAAAGAATATATAAAAGAAAGCATACAGACATATGACTATAGACAGATTACACTATGGTTATACGACTACTATCTATCTATGGACATACAGATGTATACGTATATACACACTCATAAAGGATAGGATAAGCATTAAATAAAAAAAATAAAAAAAAAGGAGAGAAGAAGAAGCACTCACGACACATTATCAACATGCTCAGATCAATCCTTATTCATTTGTATGATATGAAGAAGAAGAAGAATCTGTCTTCAGCTTTCATCCTCAGAGTCGTCATCATTGGTATGGTCGATATGATCGAATTTTATCATTAATATTATTCTTTATAAAGTAATAATAATTATAAATATAGTGAAGCTTCTGCTGATGTTGCTGTTGATGTTGATGTTGTTAGAATTCAGTGAATATGTCGCCATGCTGACATGAGGTTGCAATAGACCATTCGGCCTCTTCCTTGACTTCTTCCACAAAATGACGAGTATCACCGGGTCCATCAACCTTTGGATACAAAGCTTCAAATAGTCTTCCAGCTTCTGCTCGTGAAAACGATACGGGCGTAATCTGTACAAAAAAGAAACACACACTAAATCATGCTATTAAATGAAAAAAAAATAAAATAAAACTATATATCATTCAAAGCCATTCCGTTTACACAACACAACAACATATCCTCCGCTTAAGAAAAAGCGTTGTGGCGCTTTGATTGCTTGATAGAGCTTAAGCTTGAACACGCGCAACGCATCACATGTGTGCAACTACATCACAAAAGCATATCTCCAAGCAATAAATACACGCGAACCAATGTTTCATATCGTTTTCTACGTTCTTGTTTTTCATTCCAATTTACGAAAAAAAAACAAAAAAATTAAAAACAAAAACAAATGGCTTTGTATGGAAAGTCATGCAGTTAGCTTTAGATAGTATAGAACTAAGTTCCAGAGATCATTTATAAACAGTATAGTAAAGCAAAATATAGCGCTGAAGATAGAAGAAGTAGTCTTTCAGTTTATCTTTATCATCCCTTCTAGAGAATTCTCTGTTTTAATTTTTCTTTTTTTTTTTGCTTTTTGAAAGTTGAATTGAAGCTGTATGCAAACCTTTCGTTGATAAATAGCAATCCAATCCGTACTTCCGAACCATTTATGGTTCTTGATGTCAGCAACACCGTTCTTTAAATTTCCAAAACGTTTTGTTAAATCAACTTGCAGAAGATTTTTGAGTAAATCTTTCAACTCATTTGAGAAATGAGATGGAAATTTGACCTAAAAATAATAATATTATAATTTATATCATATAAGATTATATATAATATACCTTTCCACTGACAATCTTTTCGTATATTTGGATTGGTTGATCAGCAAAGAATGGTGGATATCCGGCAGCCATTTCATAGATAAGTACACCAAGTGCCCACCAATCAACAGCTTTGTTATAACCCTATTATATTGATTATATTAATTATATATAATAATGTATATAAATACTTTTGATAAGATAATTTCAGGTGCCAGATATTCAGGAGTGCCACACAAAGTCCATGTTCGGCCTTTGACTCGCTTAGCAAAACCAAAATCTGTGATCTATAATGAATAACATATAACATAAGCTCAATTCATATGCATTAACTGTACCTTTAAGTATCCTGTGCTGTCAATTAAAAGATTTTCAGGTTTTAAGTCACGATAAATAAGATCCAGAGAATGTAAGTATTCAAAAGCTAGCACAATTTGAGCAGCATAAAAACGTGAATGAGGCTCAGAAAATCTAAATTTTAAAAATATAATTATAATTATTTGTTCATATATACTATACCTTCCAATCCTTCGCAAATGCGAGAACATCTCTCCACCGGATATAAACTCTAGGACCATATAAAGATTGGAATTGTCCTATAATTAATGAAAATATTATAATTATTATTATATAGTTTCATTTTGTTTTAATCAACCACAACCGCGCTGCACTGATTATGACATACGAATGAGAGTAGTTCAAGTGAGCTGTTTACGTGGAAACATGCACGTTATGCAAACACGTGGCTTATAAACGTGAAATGCTTATGTAAACGTTGTTCAACATGTGAAACAATCCCGTGAATATCATCATCATATCTTCATTGATGTGTGTTTCATCTCATTTGCTTCTCTCAATCAATCGCAATCATAAATCGGCTCAAGAGCTTTTCATAAAAAAGAGAGCTTCGAATCGGATTAAACATCTATATTTGGAATGAAAATGAGAGCAATTTCTTAAATATGAACAAAATTGCTTTTTGTGTATAAAAATAAGAGGAAGAAGATCATTTTGTTTGCAAAAAAGAAAACATAGAGAGATCTATATATAGAGAGAGAGAGATTGAAGGGAGAATAAGATTGAAAGAGAGAGTATGATGATAAACGTAAACAGAATAGTTATAATATAGTATAAATATATAAATTATTACCTTAAATGAATACTGCATGTTAACTAAGAATGGAAAGTCGATTGCTTGCAATATACGTTTTTCATTGAGTGTATGTTCCACCTGCTTCAGCTTTACTACCTATAACACATAAGATAATGATATGAATAATGAAATATATGAATGTTCGCATACCTTCTGTTTGTCCAATATCTTCATGGCATAATAGTTTCCACTTTGCTTATGCTTTACAAGCATTACTCTCCCGAAAGAGCCAGTTCCCAGCGTTTTAATTCGGTCAAAATCATCTAATGACGCTGTGTTCTGCAATTATTGATTTGTATTTTGGAAAATATTTGGATGTGAAAAAATAAAATTTAATTTTTTTGTTTCATTTTGTTATCCTATGATTGAATTGGATATGGTAGTTGTGTATCTGCTATGCTATGTATGTCAAAGGTTAATCAATGCTCACACATGGAACAATACGGCTTTCAGCCAGAATAGAATCTGATAATGCATCAGATGATGTCGACAACAATATTCTTGCTGCTGTTGTTGTCATGATAATAGTTGACGTTGTGGATGTGTGAAGTAGAGAAGGAGTGACTTTCAAGAATGGCACTACTTGTTTCTCATAGAGAGCTGAGTTATTAGATCGAGAAGCTGATGCGAATGAAGATTTGTGTGTTTTCGTGGTCATTTAGAAAGAAAATAAAATATATGTTCTATTATTTATAACTTATATCGTATAGTTATATAAGCAAGCATGTAAATATTCAAAAAATATAAAAACTTTTTTTTGTTTTATTTGAATGGAGGGTCAGGACTTGGTTGTCATCTTCTTGTTTCACACACACACACACTAACATACGCACACAGTTATGAAGATGGGAAGGCTTCCGTTCAGTAGCTATGCGGATAAAAATCTTTTTTTTTCTCATTTAAAGCATATTCGTTGAAGCTTTTCATCTGCACGCTATGAGGATTTGTCTCAAAGCAGCTTTTCCCCAATAAAATAGATGACAGAAGACAATTCCTTGATAAGAAATGCTGTATGCTAATTGAATGGCAAGGAGATGTTTGGATAAGGAGCCGAAGACCCAAAGACAATTTTTTTCCTTTTCGTTTCAAATAAGATACAAGGAGAGAGAGATAGAGACAGATCAAGAGAGAAAGAGAGAGATAGTAGAGAGAGGGGGGGATACAAGAAGAAAGAAATTTCATTAATTCCATATAGAATATTCCTCTGTAAAAACCCAATTTCTATTGAAATTTCTTTTTTTATTTTTCTCGTAAATTTAAGTAAAACTCCTGTAATTTTATTTGTGAAAAAGGAGGGAAAGAGAGAGTGAGTGAGTAAGTGAGAGAGAGAGATGGAGGGAAAGAGAGAGAGAGGGAGAGAGAGATCTAAAAATAGAGTTTTCGTTCCCATAAACACGCATATTCTGTGAGTTTTGTTGAAAATAACAACAAAAGTAGAAGAAATGAAGGATAAAAATAGATTTTCGTCTTCTCCCCCCTCTCTACCTCCTTTCCAATCCCCCCAACACCTCTTGTACCCCCCTCTCTCTCTCATATGGCTCATTTTCAGTTTTTCTTTCCCAACAATTTCTTTTTTTGTTGTATGATTTCGAAAGTCAGATTGTTGGACATATTGATTCGTGTGAATGACCATTTATAGGTATTTGTGTGGTTGTGTGTGTTTTATGTGTAAACACAGGACAAAACCATCGGTCGAGGATCAATCGTACACCCTCTCTCTCTCTCTCTTTCTCATTCTTTCTTGATATCTCTAACATCTCTTCTAACTTCAAACATATATTGTTCGTCCCTCACTTTCTTTGTCTAGTTCTCTTTGATGTTGCACTTCGTTTTGGTAAAAGCGAAACACAAAACTCTAAAAATAGCTTCTTCTGACATATGAAATGTTCTTCAGATGTCTCTCTCTCCCTCCGTCCCTCCATTCCTCCCTTTCTCTCATCTTTTCACTTTTATTCATCTTTTTTTTTGTTGTGTCCAAAATCAAATTGTACGAAAATAATGTGGGCCAGTTTACGGATAGAATAATGAAACATACTTTAACGGAAGATATTGTATTGTTATAATCTCTATGAATGGATTTTAAACGACGACATGATAATGGATATGCTTCACGTCTTGATGATGATGATGATGATGGTGGTGGTAGGGAAGATGAAGTCAAATTTGAATAATAATAATAATTTAAACGATGAAGTGTTGCCATAAGAGGGAATAACCGAATTAAGGATGTTTTAGTCAAAAATTAGATGTTCAAGTCAAGGCTGCAAATAAAGATTGAATATCCGTTTCGTTCAAAAGTCTTTTCTTTCCATCTTCTTCTCACTCCTTCTTTGAGTCCTTGTCTCTTTCTCTTTACCTCTTATTCTTCAAACCTCTCACTCTCTCTCTCTCGATCACTTCTAAAAGCTTTATGCATTAGCTATAGCTAGTTCATTTATGTTCCTTCATCTTGTCCGTCTTCATTCATCCTATCATTATTCTTTTTTCTGTTCTCTTCATTCTCTTCTTCACTTCTTCTCTCATTCGATGACCATTTTTTGCCTTTCACACTCTCCATTTCTTCTTTATATTTTTCCATTTTTAGTCAACATCATTTTCCTCTTCATATCTCCCTTATTCATCGTCTTGTCTTTATTTGCCAAAAATAGACAAAACTGTTGTGATTTTCACACAAACTGAAGCACTCTCATTCCCTCCATCTCTCTCCTCCCCCCCCCCAACCAACCATCCCAATCAAATCGTTAAAGAAACTGTCTACAGAAGTTTCCGTTTTCTATGAAAAGATAATTGAACAAGGAGAACTTCTAATTTGTCTATTAGTCAGGCCGTAAATATGAAGAAACAATTGATACTCTCGCCTCTAGCTGATCATCAAGCTACCTTCCCCTCCCTTTGCTACCTGTTCCTCCTACATCTACACTAGCCTATCCTCTTTCACGCTATTTCTCGATTTCCTTTTGTGTTAATTTCTTTTTTTTTTTACCTACAACTCTCATTCTCTCAATTTCCACGTTGGTGTCAAGGGCAATCGAAGATTTGAGGGAGCGAAGTTTGCGAAGTACAAACAGACTCCTGTTAAAAACGGAAAAGAATCTAATGAAGAGAAAGAGAAAAGGGAGCAAGGTTAGAGAAATATACAAAAATTCTTCATCTTGTTCTGTTTTTGAGTCTTTTTTCCCCTCAATTCTCTTCGACCTCTTCTTGCTTACCGACATGTACACAAAGAATATACTCAAGTAGAAACTAGCAAGAGAAAGAGAGAGAGAGAGAGAAAGATCAGTCTTTCTTTCTTCATCTCTCTATTCTATCTCTTTCTTCGTTACTCTGTTAGCCTATTCAATATGTTGCTCTTGCTCTTTCTCTAGATCTATACCATTTCGGTCTATCTATCTCTCTATCATCCTTAAAAGTCCAAAAGCAACGGATAAGCGATAAGTCTGTTGACCGTAATTATAAAAAATCTTCTAACAATAGCAGACACACACCACACATTTTTGACATAACAAAGTCCAAGAAGAAACTAAAAAATAAAGGAGAGAAAGGGGAAAAGCTTAAGATAATAGGAATTGGAAGAAAAATAATTCTCAAGGTAACATAGAGAGTCAAAAATCAATATTTACATTGAATGATTGAAATTAAAAAAATAAAATAAAAAAAAAAGAAGAAAAATTAAATTTTAAAATTGGAATTGAAAACAGACCTGCCAAAGCCATTTCATTGACCAATGCTCTGACAATTGGGTTTTGAGCCAAAATAGTTCGGCTGTTAAGTTAACATCTTTCGTCTCCACCACATTCCATGGAGATGAAGATGATGATGATGATATTCCTGATGGTCCCGGGGAATTCGTTGCTGATATGATATTTTTTGTTGCAGCAGAAGTTGCTACTAATGCAGCTGCTGCTGCTTGTGAAGTCGAAGGCTCCGTATAGAAATAGTCATGTGAAGATGGATGAGCAACTGACAGATTTAATGGCACAGAATTAGATGAAGATGACGAAGAAGCTGCGATTGGCGATTTAATATTAGAATATGATGAGATCATGGGGCTGACGTATGATTCACGCCTTTTTAAATGATTCAATACAACTTTTTCGTTGACTGGCGGCAACAACGACGACAATGAAATGGAGGATGATGTGGAGATTGAAGGAGATGCTTGTGTTGTTGTTGAGCTCGATGCGATGCTATTTGAGCTTCTATTACTCTTGCTGCTACTACTTGTTAGCGTCGTGGATGTTGATGAATCCTGAAGATGAGCTGCTGCCGCGGCAGCAACACGTTCAAGATGCGGAATCTTTTCTCGAGTTGTCTCTTCTGGAGATGATGATGAACGACGTTTTTTGACAGGCAAACCCTGTGTCAGGCCACCAACAAAGGCTTTTGCCCGAGTTAATGGAAAAACACCGCCAAAAGCAATCAAGGTAGAAGCTTGACTAGTGGTCATCTTATTACTAGACGTAGAATTAGTACTTGATTTAGATGGTTTGCTGGGTGAGCTCAGGCCTAATCGATGGGATGACAAAAAATCCGTTGTATTGGATAGTTTGTGAGGGTTTTGTAATGTTGCCGTAACACGAACTAATGGATGAACTTCGGCAGCTTGATTAGCAGCTTCTTGTCCTGTAGATGTGGATATACTTCGACGAGACATCCACTTACATGATCCGGCTACGTGAGCCGTTTTGGTAAGTTGTTGCTCAAGCTTACAATAAGCTTTAGAGCAATGATGAATCTGATAGACTTCCGGAGAAGCTTCAGACGTAGAATAATATGCCAGCAGGGCTAGATCTGTACAGTCAGATATATGGAGAATTATGAAGAAGAAGAAAAAAGAAAGTATACTATGCAAAAGATAAATGTAATGACGAAAAATATATTTTAAAAATGAAAGAATATAGTAAAAGGCTTTAACTTAATTACATATAATTAACAGAAGAACGATTAGAAAAATGATTTAGTCTGCTTTAACAGACAAACAGACAGGCACAATCTTTGATATTTTTGAGCGTGTAACACGACAGCCAAGAGGTGGGCAGAGAGAGTAGTGTTGATGAAAAGGGAGGGGAGTTAACAAAGAGAGAACAAGGAGAAAAAAGGATAGAAAGAGAGGGAGCGTAATAGAAAGATGAATGAGAGGAGGAGGAGGACGAACAAAAATGAGAGACTGTTTTATTCATGAACAAACTCAAGAGTGCCCCAGATATGTTTAGAGATAGATAGATTGAGCGAATGAAAGAGAGGACTGTATGAAAGAAATATATAGAGAGAGAGATAGAGAGAGAGAGATAGAAAGAGAGTAAAAGATAGAGAGAGAGATTGAAACTACAGTTCCATACACACATACACATACACACAAAGGTAAGATTGAGAAATTTTGAAATCATTTTAGTACAACTTCTATCTATTCTCACAACATTTGATCAACTGTCATCTGTTGATTTAATAATTACTAAATATAGAAACATCATTTATCGATTGATTTCTATTTAAGCCTCAAACTTCTTTGTGTCTGGGTCTCTTGCAGCTTTTTTTTTCATTCGAAAAACAAAATGACTGATGATGATCATTAGAACTACATGAACGAATAGGAATAGCTTTCTGATCAACAGATTGACCTCTTCATTCGTGTGCTCCTTCTTCTTCTCCTTCATCTATCGTCCTTCTTCGTCTATTTGTGCTTCAATTCGTCAGGTCAGATCAGTTCAAAATTCTGCACGGTGTCAACGAAAAGCTTATTTGAAAACGTCTCAAAGACAATTTCGCAACGACGACAGCTTTTTTTCATTTTTTTTCTATTTTTGGAATACTTTATTAGTTGTTTAAGAAGAAATAGAATCACAAATGAAAGAGATAGGAAGAGAATGAGACTGAATGAGGCAACAATCAGTGAGAGAAAGAGAGAGATAGAGAGGTCAAAAGCTCTTCATTCATAAAAACAGCTTAAAGGAGTACGTGAAAAACGTGTTACAGAAATATCATTTCTCACTTTCCATTACGTACAGAACGGTTGATATTTCATTTTCATTCTCATTCGCTATCTCTCACTTCTTTCTTTTTTTTTTCTTTCTCAAATTGTTCTGTTATTCTTGTGTTTGTATATTTACAAGAAATCATATGATTGTGAGTGAAGAAAGTAAAGAAAGAAAGCTAAAGATAGGATGTTTCAACGCGACGAGAAAATGAAATCCTCTTTGAGAAAGCTTCTTTTCCGTTCTGATATGAGCGAAAATGAGTGAGAGAGAGAGGCGAATGAACAAAAAAAATGAGAAGATGGAAGGAGAAGCCTTGTTGTGTTTCAGTTGATAAACTACAATTAGAAGGCAAAGACAATATTGTAAATGTATCAATAGAAGCTGAACAGTGTATATGTGTGTGTATGTGTATGTGAGTGTGTATGTGAGTGTGTCTGTGTGAGAAGTAGATGAAGAAGAAGAAAAAAAATAAAAATTCTGGAAAGTTATCTTCCACACATACACACAATGCGAATTATCGATAAGGTACAGTTAATTGAGCGGAAGAAAAAAAAAGAGGAAGAGAAACAAAGAATTGTGACCGAAAAGAAAAAAAAGAAGCAAAAGAGTATGGGTGGAGAGAAAAAAAGTAAATGAAAGAGTAGAGAGAGAAATAGAGAGAAAGAGAAAATGATCTGAAGAGAGAGAGAGAGAGAAACACAATATTTGGAAGACAGAACTACAGCGAGAAAGCACGTTCTTCTTCTTATTTTGTATTAACTATTTTTAGAAATATGTGATCGTGCTTCTTCTTCTTCATCGTCTTCATCTCTCTTCATCTATCTATCTTTCTTCCCCTTCTCTCTCTCTCTCTTCCTCTCTCTTATATACTTTTTTTCTTTTATTCTCTCATTTGCTTTAAATTTTCTTATTCTCGTTCTCAATCTGTTTCGACGTTTCTCTTCGAATTCTCTTCATTTCCCTTATATGGCTATCAGTTTTGTCCTTTATCTTTGCTTGTCGTGATGACCAAAAACTTTTCTTTTTAGAAAAATTTATAAGAGCATTGATGATTTTTCTTTAATCAAAATCATAAATGATCAATCATTAAGATCAGAGATTAATTATTAAATTCTCTTCTCAATTTCCAATTATGACGACGACGACGACGACGAGTATGATCATGATGTTGATGATGTCGATGATGATGATGATGAAGTGTAGACAACTATGAATAGAGTTTATCACTCAAAAACAACCATTTAATTCGTCTGCACTCCTGCAAACTGCGAGCTATGCTCATTCGTTGCCAGCGTTTTGCGTGTAAATTTGAATATTCAAATTTGTCGACTACTGATTGGATATGATGAAATAGAAAGAATGTTGAAGATGGATGGGCGGGTTGAAGAAAAAAAAAGTCATCGGATAGAAATTAAATTGTTTGTTGTAATTGTGCTTAATTCACTATTAAACGCATGTGTTGATTCGCTTAGATGGTCATAATTAGTGATCGTCTGAATGACCTGATTGTTTCCCGTGCGTCAATAAGCTTCAGCATGTTTCGCCGTTTTCAGCTTTGCATCCCTTCAAAAGTCTCCTCTTTTGGATCTTTTTCTTTATTCATATTACCATTGGTGAAGAAGAATTGTTCCAAAGAACAAGAGAGAAGAAGAAGAGTGGCGGGAAAGAAGAGGAAGAGTAGAAGAAGAAGAAGAAGCTCGAGAGCTATATCACATACGGCATTCCAGTAAATGTGTATTGGACGACGAAATTTCTACTCTTCTATTTCTCCCTTTCTCTCTCTCTCTCCTTCTTTTGACGAGAAAAATTCTGGCTGTCTGCCATTCTCTCATTTGTCAATTGTATTCGAAAGCTTCGCATCGATTACTATTTCTAAAAATAGAAACAGAGCATTAGGAAATAGAAAGAAGGAAACGAAGACGACGGCATCGTTTCGTCGTTCTTGTGAAGTACGTCGTTGTCATTCGTCGTTTCTCCAACAAAATCGGCCAACAAGGAAAAATAAGGCAAAAACCTTCGTTGCGTCGTTGTTTTGTTTTAGTTTTGTTGTTGACGTCGAGAAACGGATAAATATGATGAATATAATAAAGAAGTATTAAAATTAGGATAATAAAAGAGGCGCCACAGAGAGCAAGAGGAAATGAGGAGCAACCAACATATACTCTCTCTCTCTCTCTTTCCTTCAGCATTTCCCCTTCATTTCTTAAAGCTTCATCTTAGAAACTTTATAAGTAATTCATGGAAATTTATCATTGATCTTCTACATGTATATAGATGATGCTTTTAAGCGTTTATACTCACTAGGTATGCACGTTTTCATTTCTTTTTTTTTTCAGCCTTTTCACAACTTCTTTGCAACAAATTTGTGGTTCAGCTGTCATATTAAGCAGTTTCAAATTGGAAACTTGGGGCGAAAATCAATGAAAGCTCTCAATCCATGCTTTCTATATGGCTTGAGAGAACACAAGGAATGAGACAAAAAAAAACTTTTTTTTTCGTTGTTGTTAACGGAAGCCTCCTTCTCCCTTTTCCCCTACTCTCTCTCTCTTTCTACTAGTCCAACCTAATACATAGCATCATCTCATGAACAGAAACCTTTCAAGGCATTTCATTGAGATGTCAAGTACAACCTCAATGGTAATACACAAACCAATTCAATATAAGAATTCATTTTATGAACCTTCAACTGTATTTTCATTCATTTAAAATTTGAAAGAAAAAAAAATTGAAAAAAAAAATGAAATTGTAGCGTACCTGAGCTGGGTTTTCCCATCGCTGCTTGAATTCCTCTCGGGCTTTCTCCAAGAATTCTTTGACTGAAAATAAAAAAATGAAATGATTTATTTTGTTGTTTTCATGATTTGAAAGAGCTTTCATCTTTCTCTTCCATACACATATCTCTCTATCTATCTATCTCTCTCTCTCGCTCTGACTCCCTCCATTGGTTATTGGTAATGTAAACTACAACGAATACTTGTTAATCATTACATGGATGTTGGGCTGAGATTTTCTATTTCTTTTCAGCCATTTCACAAGGCAACATTTAATGTTTCCGAAAGCTATCTACGAGAATCAATCTGAGAGGAAGACGAAAAGCTTAACGTCGAGAACGAACGTTACAATCTTTTTATTTCAATTTTCTCCCTCTGACTCTCTCTTTTTTCCTCTTTTTTTTTTCCTTTTTCGATGTTTTCTTCGCAACATTCACAAGTTTATCGATGAAAAACAGAAAGAAAAACAAATTATTTGACTGAATAAAGAGATATATGAATCGCATCGTTACTTCTATTGTTTATCAGAGAGAGAAAGAGAGAGAGAGAGAGGGAGGAAAGGAGAAAAAAAAGAATTTAGTCTTTGTTAATTATTCAATGAGTTGATCAGAAAAGATAAAAAGACTGAAAAAAATCAAATTTGAAGTGAAAAAGAAGAAAAAAGTAAAAAAAAATTGTTTGTAAGAGTTGAGAGAGAGAGATAGAGAGGGAAAGAGTATCTGTGAGAGGGAAAGAGATGATGATGAAAAAAGTGACAAAAAGAGAGAGAGAGAGGGAGAAAAGATCATCTTCTTAAAGCCAATTGCCTTCTATATGAAGGCAATTAAAGTCGGGCATGGTCACTCACAGATACTCAGTTGCTCGTCTTCTTCATTTTCTCTCTCTATTTCTCTCTGTTTAGTCCTTGACTCTCGTCTCCAGAAGATCGTTTTGAACATGTTATACAAGTATAGAATCACAAAATGACTCCTTCAAAGTCATTTATTTTCAAAACTTCTTTAATCCAAAAATAGTAGCTATGTTCAGCTTTTTCTTCATACATATAAATAACATAATATATATTTTGGTAATGAATCATACGAGAAGCTGCCAGTTCTTTTTTTTTGTCAAAAATAGGTTAGAATAGACGGACAACGCTTGCGTCAAGAACGACGACGACGGCGACGAGCAGATAGAAGGGACGGACGCCGTCAGCAACTCGGCTCAATGCATATTTGAAGGGTTTGTCTTCAAAAACAAACAATAGCTTTACTACTACGAACAGAAATTTTGAATGAAGATTTTCTTTTCATAATTCATTCAAAATTGTCTGCTTTCGGCTTTCTTCTTTGCTTGTTTTCAATTTCAAATTCACTTTGAACTGTATAATATGCATATGATGACATAATAATAAAAAATGAAGTCCTGAATATGAGAAATTGGGAAGTGTGAGCTTGAAGAAAGAATGTAAGAGCAGAGCAGAACAAGAGAGAGGGAAAGAGAGAGATGGAGAAGAAGAAAGAGCTGGAAGGATGGATGGAGGCGAGGAATGGGGAGACACACATAAATGGATGAAAGTTTATATCCTTAAACTATGTCAGTTTCACAAATGATACAAACACAAAAAATCACGGAAAAATAAAAAAATTAGAAAAAGAGAACAACATATCTGCATATACAAAGAGAGAGAGAGAAAGGGATAGATGGATATATGTATATGGAGAGAGAGATATGAAGAGAGAGAGAAAGAGAGAGAGAGGTGAAGAAAAGGAAAGGAATAGGCGGAGGAAAATGAACGAAAGCGTAAGAAAGTCGAATTGAATAAGGAAATTCTTGTAAATACGTAGCATCAGTTATTTTCGTTACAAAGACAACTACCTTCGAGGAGATCATTTCAATTTCAAAAATTTCAAGTTTAATTTGAATGTGCAAAACAACTCATAATACGGAGCATGAAGCAATGAGGTATACAGGATGAGAAAAGATTGAAAGTAGAACTATAATACAGAAAAAATAAATATTTTTCAACTTTTAAATTTATCTCATCTGAGGAGAAGCTGAGTCGAAAAGCCGTTTAGACATAATGCCAATGGCCATTTGAAGCAACAAAAAAAAAAATTCCCCAACCCCACCATCTATTACTCATAATTCTATTTGTAATTTTCATAATAGATAATATAGTTTAAGATTTGATTATAACTTACAAAACTTTATCTGAAGCTTTTTGTTACTGGAAGACATGATGTAGCCTCAAGCAGACATGGCGAGAGTAATGGAAGAGGGAAAGGGGCCGCCGCGCGTCCGCCGCGCGCTGTTTCTGCGGCAGACCCAATGGGGCACACCCCCTTTTTTGCTTCGTAGTACTGCTTTTGCTTTCTCTTTCAGTCATTCCTTTTCTCTCTTTTTCTCAATTTTGTTATGTACATTCGTACAATCTCTCAGTCCCTTTGAAGCATTTTCTCTCTATCTAGCCCCTCTTCATTTGGCTAGATCTCTCTTAACTCTCTTGTTCGAACTCCTTTTGGCAATTTTTTTGACTTCAAAACTGACTTGTGTTGATGGAAAAAAGTCATTTGAAGATGCTCAGAACAAGCTTGTACTTCAGATAAGAGAGACCAATATCGAAGTTAAGAGGGGCATATATGGAAAGAGAAAAGAAAAGAGAAGGAAGCAGGCAGGAAGAAAAGAGTGGAGATTACGGAAAAGAGGAAGAAGCTGAGGTGTCAGAATCAAAAGCATTAAGTTGCATATCCTATTACGAAAGCCATTTAAGGCGAATCATCTCAGTTAACTGGTTCGAGGAGAAAAAAAAATTTTTTTCTCTTAAGCTTCTCCTTCAAGAATGTTGCAAACATGTAAATATTCAGCTCTCAAATACATTCTGACGTCTTAATTGTCAACTATGTGATTAGAAATTTATAATTTCTGATTACATTTTACATTGTTCATTCAACTATGTTAACACCAAATCGCTTGAGGCAATTCAATTCTATTGAATCATTCATAACTTCAAATTTCTATTGTTTTCAAATCAGCCCAAATCTTCACATCTTCAAGCTTTTGCCTCTCACAGTTAGTTGGCACAACTATTGCAATCAGAAGTCAGATCCATTGACAACGGAACCACAGCCGGAAGCTGTAGCCGTCTTTCGTCTATTCGGGCTAGTAAAGGAAAAAAAAGTTTCGAAGAAAAAAAAACCGAAACACTAAACATAAGAGGACATAAAGAATTATAGAGAGTATTAGAGAGAGTGAGCAGAATATATATAGAGAGAGAGAAAAGATAAAGAGAGGTATATATGTTGGAGAGATGGATAGAGAAATAATAAAAAGCTTTTCCGTCAAGGTAGAACCAACAAATTATGTGTGCTCGACAACATTCGGTCCCGATTATGGGTAGGTAGATGGCAAGCTAGTCAATTAGAAAAAAAAAAGAAAGAAAGAAAGCAAAATGATAGTCAAATGATGAAAGAGAGAAAGATATTCAGAATATGAAAAAAATGAAAACTTCATGAGAGAGAGAGAGAGTATGATAGAAGGAGAAATAGAGATAGAGAGAGAGAAAGAGTCCATATACAGAAATAGCATTTTTCAGTCCCCTAAGGGGGATGAGCAGTGCCAAAGAAATCTTGTGAAAGTCATAACTTTGCATCTCTTTTAACCCATTTAAGGAAAGAAAATGCAACAAAACAAAGTTAAGTTATTCATTATCTTTACATAGTTAGCTGCCAATTTCTCATTTTCAACAACCAAATAAGGAAGAGAGAGATAGAGAGAGTGAGTGAGTGAGTGGAGGGAAGTGATATTCTAATATAGAAAATCGTCTTCAAAAATGAATGAATATTACCTGTAATAGTCAACAAATGACTACCTGTTGACAACATTTAAATGAGAAAATCTGATGGAAGAGAGAGAATTTCATCCAAAAAAAGGTAAAATGTCTCAATTTCTATTAAAACCGGTTTCGTGTCGTGTTTGTTCACTCACAAACTCTCTCTCTCTCTCTATCTGTCTCTCTCTCTCTATGTTTTTTTGAATTGAAATAAAAAAAAGAAGAGAAAATCTTTAATGCGAGCTTACATAATTGATATGAACGACCGCTTAACAGGCATGAGCTGTTTCGAAAATGAAACATAGTTCGTAGTGGATGAACAGTATATATCTATGTTACACGTGAGAATCACGGCTGCTCAACAGCATATACATACGTTCACTTTCAATATGTGATTTTTCATTTTTAATGTGAACATATCGAGACGAGCGGTTGTGTTGCTCAATGTCCCAAAGCTTATATATCTATATAAGGGAAAGGAGGGAGAGTCCATGTGTGTATATATATGTATATGTGAAAGTTATTTATACATATATATATGTGTATACTATTTTTATTATAAAAATTTATAAATAAAAATGTATTTTCGAGAGCATGTCGAAGCTTCGAAGAATTATTTACAAAAAGAAAATTTTGTTTGAATTTTCAGCAAAGACTATCCCGAGTTTTGGAGGAGAAGAAAATTTCAAAAAAAAAAAAGAAAAATTAATAAACAAGTGTGTTTTGTTTGTATGACTAATTGATTGGCGGATACAAATTGGCTGAGAAAGATAGGGAGAAAGAGAGAGAGAGAGAGTGAGATATATAGAGAGAGAAGGTTTCTTTCATATCCAACCTTACAAATAAGGATAGTAAATGATGTTCATAGACACATATGAGAAATGATGATGAAGAAAGAATGAGAAGGAAAGAGAGATGTAGAGTGAGATAGATAGAGGGATCGAAATGATATGGCAAGTGATGTGATAGAGAGGTAAAGAAACATGAGTTAAAAAAGAAGTATTTGCGTGAAGAACATAATAACTGATGACAGATGTTATAAGCTTGACACTCTTCAAGGGGAGTTCCAACGTGATGAGATAAGATGATGCTTTACTAACGATTGATTAGAGCGTCATTTGTTAAACGAAATTCTGCACCTTTAGAGCTTCAAACCGCTGTAACGGATGATATGCAGAGATGTATTCTCTTTTTCAGTTTTTCAACACATACAGACATACAAACACAAAAAAAAGTTATAAAAGAAAATGTGTGATGATGATGAGAGAAGAAGCCAATGAATCTATTTCTCTAATTATGATTCCATTATTAACAACCGCAAATTCTATTTATAGCTTCATAGATGAGAAGGCTAAGGGCTATATTTGTCATTATAATATATATTCTCAATACTTCTTCGTTCGACTTCTGCTTTTCAAGCTTTTTTCTGTTGATGTTGATGATGCTCTGTGCTCTGCTCTTCATTCATTCATTATCTCTCTCTCTCAACTTTTTCTTCTCAATTTTTGTCATGGCTTTTCATAATTTGAGTTAAGAGCGTCAATGTGACTTGTTGCGAAAAAGCTTATGAGAGAATGAAGCTAATACATCCATCTATCTCAATGAATTAGAATATAAAAAAAAGATGAAGGAGGAGGTGGAGATGCCAATACAAGATGAAGTACTACTACTAGTAGTAGATGACAAGATAACGATCAGAAGCAGGAAATGCGAATATACACACATACAAATATTCTATGTTTGTAATTAATATTTGATGAAACTTACAGAAAGTAACATCATCAATGGAACTTGATGATTGAATATCATCCTCATCTTCATCATCATCATCATCATCATCATCATAATCATTATTATCATTAATTATATTTATTGATGGTGATGATTTAGATGGAACACATGGTGCTCGTATTGTAAATGTAGCTGAAACATCGCCATCATCAGCTTCATAGAATGATGACATGATGTGGTGATGATAATAAGCACAAACAGAACTAGCGGAATGTGATGAATATGAATAACTTAGTAAATGTGAATGTGAATGTGAGTGTGCTTCTTCGTGTATATGATAGGTGTGATGATGAGTGACGACGAACTACGTACAAAACGTATTACTTCTTAATATAATTCGTCTTACGATCTCAAGTAATCAATCAATAGCTTGATGATATACTTGAAACATACACAATAGGTTCAATCACAAAGGTCAGATTATCAGTAACGAAATTATTTTCATCAGCTGAGAGAATTGAGACAGACGGAAGAACGATGATGAGGCTTAGGGGAAGAGATTGAAAAGCTTAGAGGGCTGTCTTATCTTTATTCAACTGCCGTTTCATCTTTTTATCTCTCCAGACCTCATGTTATAGAATAATCTTTAAGATTTCTCTTTTTTTACCTGTCAAATCTCTTCAGCAGAGGTATACTGAAACCCATTTCTCATTCTATCAATCTCATCACGTTTTCTATTCATCTTCAATCTGACTGATTTCATCTGTATCTCTGCTTCTCTTCACATTAGTTCATATCTGGTTTGAGATATAAATTGTTTCATTTCTTTTCAATATTCAATGCTATTCCCTTAATTTTTTTTTATTCTAACCCATTCACACAGCTGGTCCTATGAGTCAGTTTCAAATCCAGCAAGATGGATTGTTCCAGAAGCTCATGCACTTAGGTGGTCTCAACTTTTGAAATTTGAAGAAAATGAGAAAAAAAACTTCAAAAATACAAAAACGCAAAATGCAATTTGTCAGCAATTATCTGTGTGCACAAAGCCAATAGATGTAATATGAGATTGTTTTGGAGATGAGAATACTCATTTTTTTAAATCTCATTATCTTTCATTAGGACGAGAGTGGAAAGGAAGAGGAAACATGAATCTGTTTTGCTGATCATTTTCATGTCATAAGATGCTTCCGAAGCTACCACAACTTCTTACAGCAAGAGGAGAAGCTTATTTGCAGGAAAATAACTTCTTTTTACTCTCTTTTCGCATATTTTTTTTCATTCAAAATATGTGCTGAAAGAGAGAGAAAGATATAGATAGATAGAGAGAGAGAGGGAGATGTGAAGAGAGAAAGAACAATATGAAAGAGCAAAAGGTTCAAAGAGAAACGACAATCTGTTGCTGCTCCTCCTTATTGTTCCTTTTTTTCTTTTCTCTTTTTCCCTCCTTCATCTTTAACATCTTCTCATCCTATATCATCGTCATCAACGTCTAAACTATCAGGAATATCTGTGAAATGGTTCAGCTTCTCTGATTCTCATCCATTTGTTGAGCACAATATACGTTGCTGAGACCCAATATCGCAATCTATCAGAGAGAATAACACCGAAGGCACAAAAAACTTTTTCTTCTTCTTCTGCATCATCATCATCATCTTCATCTTCTTTTTCTCTTTTTTAGCTTTTGCATAAGCCAGGTGCTGCTGATGATTCTTATTTCGTAACGAAAAGTGAACATAGAAGCCAACTGACGTTCATGTCCATCATTACAAGAGAAGGAGGTTAGAGTTAGAGAGAGGGAGAGACGTTTCTCTCTTTCTCATTTCTTTATAAACATAAATTGTTATAATTCATGTAACACATAATAAATAGAATTCAAGTCCATATCATCATGTTCGCATTTGAAAATAGAAAAAGAAAATTCATTTTTCTTTTTATAAAAAAAGAAAAATTTTACTCTCAAAAGACAAAAGATGTATTATTTGATGAATAAATGACTAACTAGACGCTTCATTAAGCTTCTTTTAAGCCTTCATCTCTCTCTCTCTCTCTCTCTTTCTCTCCGAAAGAATTGAACATTAGATATTGAATCTACACAAATGTATGTTTCATCCAAACTTCTAATACGTGTCCATCCACCCACTCTTACTTAGTACTAATTCAACTCTCTATAGAGAGTACGTAATCTCTCATAGATTACCTCTTTTTGCTTCTTTTTTTTTTGTTGCTCCCTTCACTCTCTCATTCTCCCTGTCTACTCTTGTTATGTTTTTCAACAAGATATACTCAGAGAGGGAAAGAAGTGCACAAAGAGAGAGAGAGAAGTGCACAGAGGGAGGTAGAGAGAGAGAGAAGTGCATATATAGGGAGGTATAGAGGGAAACAAAAACTTTTTTTTTGCAAAAAAATTGAAATTCTTAAAATATTGCATTTATGTATAATTTGAAATGGATCAAATTGACATATTTGCATGTATAAATGAACTAAACTTCATGTCTCTTTCAATACTCCCTTGCAACGACCTAACCCACCTCTCCCCGTCTCCCTTCACCTCTTCCCCTCTCTCCCTTCACCTCTTCTTCTTCTTTTTTTGCGTTCCTTTAGTTCTTTTTCCCCCTTCTACACTTCATAAACACTAATCGTCGTCCACTTAAAACATATTTATCAAATTAAATATAAAAATGCTGGCTGTCTAGTGCTAATGATTGAAACGACAATCGTCCTCTCTTCTCACATCGACATGTGCCTGCTTTCAACTCTTTGTGAGCATGTTTCATTTGCTTTCCTTTTTTTGAAAATTAAACACAAAAACTAAAAAAAGGAAAAAGAGGGGAAAAAAGAGAGATAGAGAGAAAGGAGGGGGGGGGGGGAGAAGAAGAGTGCTCACTTGCCCCCATTCTGCTAATTAGTAGAAAAAGCTACAAAAGGCTTAATCACAATTCAAATAAGCCAAATCTTTGTAATGAAATAGAATTACAAATCAATGCTATGTTGGATGTCCTTCTGGCTTTGCTTATCGCCCAAACCATAACTCATTCCTTCATATGTTTTTTGATGGTGATGGTTCGACCATATAAGTCAAAACATTCGAGAAACGAGTGTCGGCTAAATGATAAAGAGGGTGAGGATATGGAAGACCTATCGAGAGTTAGTAGTAGAGGCTGTGTTAGTGAGGCTATGCGATATGGAGATATAGAGATATAGAGAGAGAGAGAGAGAGAGTGAGATAGCTTTCTCTTTTCAACTACTTAATAGGTGAATACAGATAATAAAAACTGGATATCATCGACAATTTAAAATTTCTGTCACATTTTGCAGACAAATATCAACATTTGAAGATTATTTTTCATGTCAAGTTAAGCAACACACACTCACACACACACATACACACTCAGATACACATACACATACGTATACACAAAAAGAGAATCCAATACAACAGGCACGGCAGCCAGAGAAAAACCTTTTGTGAGCCGGCCACACAATTCAATTTACTTTATTTTTTCCTCAAAAATTCATGTACGTGATATGGATGAGCCAGAGAAGGAATGTAAGAAAATATTCCCTAAAGGATTGTGCGATAGAACCTCCACTACGGCAAATCTCTTGTAAGTAGGAATACAAGGCTTTTTGACCAAACCCGCACAAGAAATAGGAAATGAGGAATATTGAGGAGATAAAGAGATTGAGAGAGAAAGAGAGAGATATGGTAAGAGGGAAAGAATTTAACATTACTACGAGATGTAAAGTATATTCAAGATGTATGAAACAGATTTCATGACTAATCTTTCCAACACCAACAACACCATTAAACTACCTTCTTATGCCTGAGGCAATATGAGCTTCATGAATGATGAGATATTGAAAGAAAAATAAATAAATATCACCTTATTGCATATAAATGTGCCAAAAAAGGGAAAGCACGAATGGATGGAATGTATGATCCGAAAAAAGGTATTAAAACAAGAAAGCAAAATGAGATAGAGAGTGAAATGAAGAGAGAGTGAATGAGAGAGAGCTGAAAATGATGTGAAGTGAATGGCAGAGCAAATTTCTAAACTAAAAGAGAAAAAAACACCAAAAAAGGAATATCATGTTTCTCATATTACGATAGTTCAAGTATTCTATAAGCTGTTCTCAAATTATGATTCGATGCTTGAAGAAGGTAAGTGAGCAAGCTGCTCATACTACCGATCAGATGGATGGAGCAGTATGCATGAAGATAATTAGAAAAAGAGCAAAAGAATGCCAGAGAGAGAAACAGAGATGGGAGAAAATAAAAACAAAACAAAAAAAGGAAGCTTTTCAAGTTGAAATTAAAAATTACCATGAATCCAATAAGCTGAAGATAGATGCTCAGAACGATGTGACCGAATAGATTCTTTATGAGCGCAACATCGTTTTTCTTCTTTTTCACGTCGTTCACGTGCGTTCTTTCCGAATAAGAACGATGATGATAGCATTTGTGAAATGAATTGTCGACGATGTTTGAATAGAAAAAAAGAAAGTTGTTGGTAGTGATGAGAGAGAGAAAGATAGAGAGAGTATAGAGAGGGAGGGAAAAAATAGATTTGAAGAAGAAAATAATTATGGAATAGATTGGATTTTTTTTTCTTCGAATATAAACAGTTAGAAAAGAAGATGAAGCCTGTTAGAACAGCTCAACAGATGATGACGCTATGATGATAATGTTCTCAGCTTTTGCTCTTCCCTTTTCTTATACTATATTACATACGAAAGATCTGCAATAATGTCAATTGTATGGAACAATAAACATATATAGTTGGTAAGCTTACAATCTATTCCATTGATTTGCTGAATGAACCAGAATTCAGTTCTACAATAGAAGGAAGAGCTGAGCTTGTAGAGAAGAAGAAGGCTATAGAGCTCTTCGTTAGCTAATATATAGATTAGTTGAGGTCAGAGGGCAAGAAATTGATGAAGTTGCTGGCTAGAAAATGTCTCAAACTTTCTCTATCTGTAACAAGACTGAGACAAGAGCCGAAAAGCCAGATGGATTGAACTGGGGAGAAGCAAGTCAACGCGAGCTCTGGCTCCCAGATAGGTTGGAAAGTGAGTGAAGAAGGACGAGAAGAGAAAATACTAAACAATGAGAGACAGAAAGACTAAAAAGTAATGCAAAATACTGCTTTAGGCATTACTGATGAAAGAGAGTGTAAAAGAGAGATATAGAGAGAGAGAGGGAGGAAAGGATAGAAAATGATGGGCGGGGTC